AGTGCTCTAACTTGGATGGGGTGTCTACTCTATGCTTCCACATACCCATGATATCGGCTTAACTGAAGGGGTTGGATTTCAGAAGGGTGTGTTTCTAAAGGGTTTTATGGACCTCAGCTAAAGCTTAAAAATACACAGAATCTGTGGGGAATCGTTTTAATTTTCCCTAACAATTGTTTTAAGTTCTACAAACAAATCCTAAACCTAGATCTATAGAAACGAAGATTGAAGGCACGAATCTGGAAAATAGAAAAGCAAGAATGTGCTTCAGAATCAAGAACAAAGATGGCCTATCAAGAACATTGTAAGTACAAAGGGTATAAGGTCAAGAACAGTGGCAAGAGTGCAGAAAAGTTGTAAGCAGTGCGTGTATTCAAGACATGGGCAAAGAGCAAAGTCGTGAAATAAACACACTCAGATACATGACTCATAAATCAAACATTTGAGTAAAACAACAATGGCGATTAATAATGAAGCAAAACTTCTTGGAGAGCAACAAGAAATAAAACAGGAGGAACAGTGGCTTACCAGAAAGAGGGAAGTCGGAATGGGGATTGCCGAAGTCTGACGACGGTTGCAAAGGCAGAAGATCGGTGAAAATCACGCCGGAAGGGGTAAACGGAGCAAGTTGCAGAGCTAAGGAAGTTTGAACAATGGAGGATTTGAGAAAGCTAGAGAGAGAGAGAGAGAGCTTCAGAAACGATGTAAAGTGAAGAGACGGAAGGAGAAAGGGGCTTTTTGTTAAAACTTGAAACGGCAGCAAAAGAAAGCAATTAATGCGCCTAAAATGACGTATGCGTTAGACGGCGCATGCAGGCGCGAGATGACTTGCAAGAGTGTACGGAGTACGATCCAATAAGAGGAAAACGCGTGGTTAAGACGGTTGATGTATTATGCTTGACAACTCATACGCATGAGGGAGCTTTTGAAATTTTTTATCTTTAAAGAGACAAGTCGGCTGGGATCTCTAAGCCGATGTATTGGCAGGAAGTACCGATATAGGTCCCATCACCTCAGAATGACGAGGTAATAGAACCTAGGGGGCAGTTGTGGGCATATATTTTCTGAGTACCAACACGTGGCCAAGGTGACGTCGACGTGTCAGCCGAGGTGCCACGTGTCCTGGTCATGACGCTGAGGTTATCTCAGCAAGGCCGAGGTTATCTCCGAAGATATCGGAATCCGAGATAAGTGGATAAGGCACAAGAGGCTTCTGTTGGGACAAGGATTGAGTTAACTATAAAAGAAAGGCACCCCCGATGGGTCTAAGGTACGTAATTTTATACTCAGAACAGTGAGTTTAGCATTATTGATTATCTTTGAGAGATATACTGACTTGATCGTCGGAGTGCCCCCAGGTGGACGAACCACCGCCAGAATCTTCTCTTTCTGTTGCAGGTCAGACAGATGTCATCTATTCTGCCAGTACTCTTCAGCTGAATACTGAGTTGGCAGTGTGGTCAGAAAATCACTCACACATTTTCAATTTTATTAATTAATAAACCACAACAGACAGCAAGATACAACTATGTTTTATCACTTTTGTGTAGAGAAAGAATTCTCATAAAATTTTAAAAAGTTTTATAAAATCTCATTGAAAATAAATAAAGAAAAATGATAAAAAGTTGTTCTATAAATACTTAAATATTTTTTTAACAAAACTTAAATTATTAATTACTTATATTCTAATACTTAAAAATTAAAATAAAAAAGTATTTAGATAGAATATTTCGGTCAATTTAATTTGTATCAGTGTAAAACTGAAACATACCATAAATTATAAAAAACTGAAGGAATCTTGAAATTTTGGTTAGTCTTGAATTGTCAATTTGATTACATCAATTTTATTTACATTGCTATATATAGATTAGAAGTGGCAAAGTCAATCCAAACCCCTAAAGTTGTCCAATATACCATTTAAAATCTCTTTTAACCGAAGTTTAAACGCGTTGTTGGCAAACAATGAGTCAAAAGGAAATTATTGGCAAGCCACATATTAGAACTTTTCACTTAGTACATTAAGATTCTTATATGCAACAAGGTAGATCTTACACCACATAATTTTTTCTAGTCAAAAGTCAAACAAATGGTAACAGTGCCTACCTAGAAAAAATACTTAAAAAATATTCAAAATTTGAAATATGCAAACGAGATCCATTTGGGTATCGAAAATGAGTCGTAGCTCGAATATTTTGGGCTCAAATGGCTCGAAAGGACAAATTTCTCTCTCCTCTTGATCTCTTCCCTCTCAGCTATTCCACCTCAAAATTGATACCACCTCTATCTCACTCTCGCCTTACCCCTCTCACCTCATCCCTCTTACCTCTCTCGCCTTATCTCTCTCATTCACTCTCGCCTCTCTCTCCTCTCTATCTCACTCTCGACTGTCTCACCTATCTCTTAAAGGAGTACGAAGGACAACGAAACAGGGGACAAAGGACGACGAGACGGTGGACGAACGACGACGGAAGACAAACGACAGTGAATCTGAGGCAAACTTGAAATCGCAAAGTTAGGGTTTAAGTTAGAGTAAACCTAAAATCGCAAAATTAGTCGATTGGGAGTGTTTGGGGTTGGATTTTGCTTGCAATTTGTGTTAGGGTTTGGGATTTGGCTTTAATTTGTGATGTGTTAGGGTTTGGAATTTTGCTTACAATTTGTGTTAGGGTTAGGGTTAGGGTTAGGGTTAGGGTTAGGGTTTTGCTTGAAATGCACATCTGTGATGAGTTTGGTCATGCAATGTTAATCTTGAATGCATTCATACATTGCTTCAAGGTTGTCTAGGATGAATTTGTTGAATTAATTTTGTATAATTAATTCTTGCAATGTTAATTTTGTCTTGAATTAATCTTGTAGAGTTTGAATGCATTGCAATGTTAATCTTGTATAATTACAGGTTAATCTTGAATTAATTTTTAATCTTGATGAAATGTTCCTATGTTAAATAATTTCAAAATTAATTCAGTGTTCTGTGTATGAAAAACAGATTGAACTCTTCTCTCTTAATTTAACCGATTGAACAGAGTTCTATGAAAAATTAATTCAAGATTAACCTGTTAACCAAATTAATTCATGATTGAACTCTGTTATCAAGATTAACCTAGTTAATTCAACATATCAAGATTGAACTCTGTTATCAAAATTAATTCCAGATTAACCTGATAAGAGAGTTCAATCTTGAACGCATCTGTCTCTATTTTAAACAGATTGAACTCAATTATCAAGATTGAACTCTTTCAATGAATCTGTTTTCAAGATTGAACTCCGAGATCATCTTCTACTAATAATAGGAAGATACAAAAAATGGAAGAACAGCTTGGTAGGCAGTTGAATCATCATCTTCTACTAATAGGCAGTTAAATCTGTTGGTAGGTAGTTGAATCGTTCTCTTCTACTAATAGGTAGTTGAATCATCATCTTCTACTAATAGGTAGAACAGCTTGGAAGATAAAAAAATAGAAAGAACATCATCTTCTACTAATAGGTAGTTGAATCTATTGGTATTTTTTATGCAGATAAAAAAATGACTTCATCTTCTACTAATAATAGGACCATAAGATTAAAGCCAAGATTGTGTAATTGTGAAAGAATAGCTTCCATGCATATTGTGCGAACCAACGAGAATGGAAATGAAGGACGTGTGTTTTTTGTTTGCCCAACAAAATATGTAAGTATCTGTTATATAAATTAATCTTTTGTTTTTTACAAATTTCATTTGTCATTTATTGATTAACTGAATCTTGTGCATTGTAGAATGCGAACAAACACTGCAATTACTTCAGATTTGCAGATGATGACGACGACGACATTACCTCCACAATCCGTGCCAATGCTGGACCTTGGACAGATTCAAGAACAGAAAAAATTAATGATCTAAGGATTAGGCTTGGTGAGATGGACAATACAATTCATGAGCATGATAGAAGGCTTTAAAGGATGGAGAAGATTTGCAATTACAGACAACATCTCTGTGAACAAGTTGAATTAAAACAAACAAAGAAAAAAGAATTTAAGAAAATTCATGACAACTCTACGTTTAGGCAAGAAAAGATAATTCCCCAATGACCAAGAACACAAAAGAATAAAGAGAGACACAGAAGAATTAAAGGCCAGGAAAGAAGAGGGAATCAACAATTAATGGGTACTCTTGATTTAGCCATGAAAACAAGACCCCAATTGCAGAAAAAGCCAGATTTTGTGAGGGAGACCTCTCAGGCGACCATTGAAGGTGGAGCATAGAAGAAACATGGGTAAGGACATAAATGCATACCAATTGAGAAGAAGCTGTGATTATCAATTACTGTTTTTTCTTGGCTAAGAATGGAGAGAAACAGAGTGGATTTGCAGACATGGGTCTCTGTGGCCTTTTACCTAACTTGAAAGGATGAAAAATACAAGGAGAATCAGATGAATATGTTCTTGCTTATGTCAGTATTAGGAGAGATCTGAAGTGTGTTTTTAACCCTTCTTAAACCCTCTACTCAAAAACGGGCAAAAACAGGCAATTTTATGGAGGTAACAGCAGATCAATAATCGATTTTAAAAAATAAAATAACAACATGAGGATGATGCATACATACACACACAGTATTTTATAATTGTGGTGTTGATGAAAGGTGGAGTAGGGGACTCCAAAGGAACTGAATGCTAGTAGAGAGCTTTACACTCAACCTATTTGACAAATCACACAAGGGAAACAAAAATACAATAGGTTGAAGAGCAAATGACGAGCAAATCACACGAGAAACAAAAATACTAGTCAAGACTCCTCTTCTTCAACTATGGACGACACAACAGCATCAGCTTGCGGCACCCACGGCAGCAACAGCAACAGCAACCCAGATCGCTCCTCTCACTGTGCCGCTAGGTTACGAACGATACATGCTTCTCTCTCTTTAATCTCTGTTCTTGTCTTTCATTTTCCTTTTTTATTGTTTTGCCGCCAAATATGATGTTTGGCTGTGAGACTTCATTCAATTCAAGCACACGCCCACAGAGGATAAAAAGTAACATTCGGGCCACTCTCGAGCCACAATATTTCGAGCTACGAATCGCTATTGTTTGGGTATTAGTTCACACCCCCACCAAAGTTTGAATCTACAGTCATACACTTTACTTTTTGAATGTATCTAGCTTATTTTTTTCCTAGGTACAAAGCATTTTTGACCAAAAAAAATTAAAATGATAAAAAAAATAGTAATTTGAGATATGTCAGCATGAAGAAAGAGTTGCATCGCACATAACTTGCATAGCGTTTCCCACTACTGGCAGTGGATTCAATGAAGAAAAGACTCCCTGCATTGATACTGAACAGATTGACCCAATTCGCCATGCTTAATTATTCTTGTGGTTTGTAGAGGAACAAACTTGTATCTACATAGAGACCTACCAATGTTGTAGTTGTCACAAACAGGCAATGTTGCTTGCGAATGGCCTCATGCAGAGCTACCTTTCACTGTAAAGTATAGTTGGCGAGTCCCATGGATTCGGCAACTTCTCTAGAGGAAAAAGAATCAGCTTGTTCCTACTCATTGCACAGAACATGCATTAGTAGACTGTAAAATAGTAGGTATTCACGAATCCAAGTTTCAGTAAAAAAAAGGAAAAAAAAAAAAGAAAAAAAAAGCTGCCTCTCCTCTGAAATAGAGGATTTGAAAATGGGCTTAATCAACAGCTAGAACGACAATATTCACAACAACAAAATGCTTAGGCACTCATTGGTTAACTTGGATATGAAAATGGTCCACATTCATTGTTGTTTAAAATACGAACACCATAAGTTTAAACCTACATTCCGAACATACATTCAAAAGAGAGCACCATAAATTTGCCTCTTAGAAGTTTTCATTACCACCGTCTTTCAAGACCGACTGTCCCTCTATATCTGAGAACCTAATATACACGTCTGTGGTGCATGTGGCATGCACATTTCTCTTTGTTATAATTCCTGTACATCTACTTTTTTTTTTAACAAAATGGCCATCATGCTCATGATCAATGAAGTGTCCTCCATGGTAGTTTTCAATAGATAGACCTATCATTAATGCTAACAAATATAGTATTCAACTATTGTCTCGAAAAAAAAAAAAAAAAAACTGAGACAGAATTTGCAGATAACAACATATTCATACCTGCAGACGATGTAGCAGATACATCAAGAAAAAATGCACAAATACCTGTGGATAACTCGGCATGGTCATCATGCAATTCAAAGCACTATTAACGATTTTTAACAACCATACTATTTCATTGGAACAGGAAATCCCAAAAATAAAATAAAATAAAATAATTGGTGGTGATATGTTATATATTCTCACCAAATAGAAAAACGGCAGGATTCGAGCAATTGGATATCGCCACAGAAATCGTGTGGCCCTGACAGCCCCAGAATCTAGAAGTTTTGCTGCATTCTGCAACTGCACCAGACAAGTATAACAGAATGAGAAAAGAAACATAGGTGGCAAGACTGTAGTGAAAGAAAAGAGCAGTGCTGACCTGAATGCTCACCCCAACCATATGGCGGTGATACAAGGGAAGAGGCCTGCAATTACTCTTTATGTGAAAGAAAGGAGAAAAAAAATACTGGTTTCACTTATAAAGATGATTAAAAACAAATGATTAGGCCATATGCATGCAATCTTATTCTTCTATGAAATGGCTATTCTTCTCATTTATTTAGGAACTAAAAAGAGAGGCACAGGTTTATGATTGGCAAAACATTCCAGAAATAAGTAATGACTACACAGCTTTTACAGGATGTAACCAATTCCACCAAGGATTGGTTGTCCTTAAAATTTTAGCAGAATACTATCTATCAGTTAAATCTAACTACCAAGCAAGAAGCACAGACATGGAACAGACACAAATACAAAAAGGATGTCAGTAATCTTAGCACAACAAAGCACTCTCTAGTGGCATGGAATATCTATTATTTTATTTTTTTTGCCAGAATGTCAGTAATCTTAGCACAACAAAGCACTCTCTGGTGGCATGGAATATCTTCTTTTTTTGTTTTTTTTTTTTTGCCAGAATCCCCAAGTAATGTCTCTGTTAGATTCTCGGGTACCTCACTTCATTTATCATTTAGTTCAGTTTCGCTATAGGTTTATTGTGTAAAATAAAATTTCAATACGAACAAAGACAAATTTAGAAACTAAAAAATAATACAAAATGTAAAACTCAAACAATGACAAGGTAAAATGCAATTAAAAAATGAAGGAATAGATCATATTTCAACATGTTTTAAGAATATACAGAAAACATGAAGCACATTGACAAGTTCTATTCGATCAGAGAAGAGAGAAACATAATCAAGTGTTTTCATGTCAGTGTCTTCTTTCCAAGATGATGATGCTCGACGAGAAACTCTGCTCCTTTCTGCTTCTACCTGCTCAATTAAGCAATAAAATTATATGCATAAGACATTAGATCGTGTAAGATTCTATCCCCACCATCTTACAGTGAATGGTATCACTCTCCCCATATGGTAGGGCAGGTTTGACCGAGCATCGATAGGGACAGACCTGAGCTTCTTGAAGCCGCTTCATCTCCTTCTCTAATTGAAATTCTGACGCAGCTTTTTTGCCAGCCATGGCTTCCAACTGTGTTTGCTTGTAATACTGAAACATACATATGATTAGTCAAACAGTGAGTCATCATAAGTTAGCAATGATAATAATGATTGAATGACATTAACTTTGAGTTTGACATACCAACAGATCAGTTAGTTCACGGTACCGTTTCTCCAGCTCCATATGCTCCTGTCAAATGGTAGCCATAACACCTAAGGGTGATTATACTATTAAAAATTTCCAAAATATTTACCGAAAACAAATAACATAATAAATTAAAATGTAAAAAGCGAATGAAAACAGAGAAAAAGAATAACCAAATAATTAAATTTACTTAACTCATATATCAACCTTCAAGAATAGAGGGATAACAACATATAGGAAATTACAAGTGTAGCTCATGCAGAAACAAAGAGGAAAGACGTTCACAGTACATTAGTTCAGTATAGGATTATTTTGGAAATTTTTCTAGTTAGGGAATTGCTAGGACTCACATTGAACACTAAATGCCAAAATGGAAGCAAGATCCATTTTCAACGTATATAAAAAAGAAAATGGATGAGTTGACGAGAAATATTCAGAATAACATGCCATGGTGTATGTGTTTTGCGAACGATATTGTGCTAATGGATGAGACTAGAGGAGTTAACACAAAATTAGAGATTTGGAGAAAAGCTCTTGAATCTAAAAGATTCCGGATAAGCAGAACTAAGACAGAGTACATAGAGTGTAAGTTTAATAATAGTAACAATGAAAGCAGAGGAGAAGTGAAGATTGAGAACCAAGAACTGCCTAAGAGTGAACATTTTCGCTATTCAGGGTTGATTATCACAACAGCGAGAGAGATTGATGAGGATGTAACCCATAGGATTAAGGCAGGATGGTGTAAGTGGAGAAGTGCGTCTGGGGTATTGTGCAATAAACGAATATCCACTAGACTAAAAGATAAGTTCTTTAGAACGGCTATTAGATCAGCGATGTTGTATGAGACGGAGTGTTAGACAATCAAGAAACAACATGTAGATAAGATGAATGTGGCTGAGATGAGGATGCTCAAGTGGATGTGTGGCAAGATTAGACAAGACAGAATTAGGAATGAGTGTATTTGGAAATGAGTAGGAGTAGCACCTATAGAAGATAAGCTGAGAGAGAATCGATTGAGATAGTTTGGTCACATTCAACGAAGACCAATAGAGGCAGTTATGAAAAGATGCGATACTGTAACAGTAGATGAGAGTGTTAGGGGACAGGGTAGGCCTAGATTAATGTTGATTAGCGTTGTAAATAGAGATATGGATCTACTTAATTTGACTAACAAAATGGCCTTTGATAAGACATTGTGGAGAAGAATGATTCATGTAGCCAACCCTATTTGATGGGATTTAAGGCCTGGTTTGGTTTGGTTTGGTTTGGTTTATAAAAAAAAAAAAAGGACGCAAGGAAAAAGTCACAATACGAATGAGTTCATCCTTCCATCACTGATATATGACAGTTGTTGCATTGAAAGCTTTCATATCAAAACACTAGTACATGGTTTCTCTTGCGTGCCTTCAGATGATTGCTGCTTCCCTTCTCTGTTTATAACAGAGCCACCTCGCACTAGTTTGTTGTATTCATACAAAAGCTTTGCTCTGGTCCTTTATGTCCAAAGTTCATTCAAGCGGGTTTCACTTCTATAAGATTTATTTATTAATATATATTTTTTTAAGCATTGTAACCCACAAACATCTCTATGTCAGTAAAGAAGGAAGCCGGTTCAAAGTGAAGTTTCATTTATTTTTTATTTATTTATGATAAGTGTTTAAGATTCAATATAGTCCAATAATTTTGAGCAAAAAAGTCCATCAGAGAGATGTATTCAGTTATACTTCTGTATATATGTTAATTTAATAATAAGTAAGAAGCATGTGACTAACTAACTACAGTGATATACAACTAGGATTTCAACTTCCTCCCTGATGTGAAACTTGGCTAGGATAAAAATGTATGAAGTATAGTTTTTAAGAAAACATCCATTTTGATGGTTTATTAGTTAACTCTCAACTAGCAAAAAAAAGAAAAAAGCAACCATGTCAAGTGAAATTTCAGGAAAAAAATTACAGATTCCTCAGTCAGAGTTTGTCTGCTACCAAAGTCCACATAAAAAACACAATTACCTATTTACCCTTCAATACCAAAGATTACTTAACTACTGATACGAACCCCTTGGGTAGAACTCACCATTGAAAACCAGCTTGTAAGGGTAGAGTGCCCAAGAGTTTTATATGCACATGGCCACGACCTATGCTAATCGATGTGGGATTGTAACATATCACCCCACTCAATACCTGAATCCTTTGCCACAGAGATCACTGTAGACTGAGATACTGATAAAAAAATCACTGCAGAATCAGACTCAGGCTGGTGGATGGGTGGGGTGGGGTGTAGGGCAGAGACAAAAGCAATTGCATCTCGACTCTATAAAGCACTACAAGGAGAAGTGAAATGCACAGAGAAAGATAGGTACAGGTTCTCAGAAAGACCTGTGACTTAATGATCGATCTGGGCCAAGATAAAGCAGAATGGGAAAAGAGGAAACTTCCAGCCCAATCCCAAAATTTGAATGTTAAATTCCTTCTTCAGAACATACCGTGCCTTAATTTAATTCAAGATGAGAAAAAAGCTCTTATAGAAGTGTGATGCTGGGAAATTAGCATAACCAAACAGAAGATGACCACATATCAGAAACAGGGTGATAAAAGAGAGATTGCTTACTTGACGTGAATAATGCTCTGCATCTCTCTTCATGGCAGACATTTCGACTCTCATTTTTTGCACTTCAGCCTGCAAATAAGTATGTAACATAAAAAGTCCTTAAATAGTCTTGAAACATCAGTTTGCAACATTTCAAATTTATTTATTGTATAATAATAAAAATTAGATGTTGGAATCAATTCCCAATTGACATCTCCAAATAAGTAGCATTGAGTCTTCAACCGTGTAAGTTGATTAAAGATAACAAGTAACACATGCACAGGAACATCACAAGAAACTTGCCTCTAAAGAAGAAAGCTTGCTCTCAGCATCTCTCCGACCTTGCCAAGCTCGCTCCGCTTCTTCCTGCCATGCCTGCATCTTCATATTCATAAGATAAAGTGGTTAGATGGATATGTACTACTATAGCACTCTTCTATTGGTGAAAGACTAAATTATAGTTGTATTATTTTTATGGAAAACAAAGGATATAAAAAGTATGAGAATTACACTACAAAGAAAAAATAAAGAGTGCAAGGTATCAAACCGTTTCAATTTATAGGTTTGGCATAATCTATATAATCCATCTTTTTATCTTTTTATCTTTTTTCCATTACATCACCTCTCTACTTTTCTACACATCTTTTCGTAAAAAGACAAAAAGTACACTTTTTTAGGACACCCCAAACATTAAAATCTTGCTTTAAAGTAGAAGCTTTAAAAAAATGAATGATGGATATATAAATTGATTGCAAAAAATTTTTCTTGAGAAATTCTTCAACCTAAAAAGAACATGGTAATAGAAACTTGGAAAAAGGTGAGGCTTGAACTTAACAGGAGAGCATTGTAATTTTTCGGTGAACAGATTCTCAGAACTAAAGATTTCATAAATGTTTTGTTATTGGTCTGATAGTTTGAACTCAAATTTAATTATAGAATAAAAATATCATATATTAATCAAAATATATGCATATGCTAGGAATTGCACTCCTATATCTAAAAGCGGAGAGGGGAGGGGGGGAAATACAATTTTGGAACACAATTTGCCAATATATAAATATATATATTTTATATAAAGCACAAACTTCAAAACCACAGAACCAAGTAAATTATGTGAAACTCATTACGTATTTTGTTTACAAATTCATAAAAATAGATGCTGGCCAAACAGTTTAAATTTGTGTACCTGAATCATTTGATTCGCATCTTCAGGAGACTTCTTTTGTCCACAACAAGCACGGGCTTCCATATCTTGTAGCTCTTGATTCAAGGATGCACATTCAACCTGATGGCAGATGATGAAGATTATGTGGACTTACATATCAAGAATGGAAAATAAACCTTCATTTTGAAGAACTAATGCCACCTTCTGCTCAAGTTCTGCCACCTTAGCTGTTCTTTCATCTGCTGTTCTCTAAGGGAAGCAATGAACAAAATTAAATCAAGACTGTAGAAATATAAGTCAAATTATCAAATGAATCATCACAAAGTTACTAGAAAGAAGAACACGCATTAGCTACAATGAAGCACGGACATGAACACGAACACAAACACGCAAACATAAGATAACACTAATCTCTAAAGTTTAAACGTGAAGGGATTAATAGGCATCAATCTACATTATTTTTCTTTTATCATTGTATCTTAAGCTATTTTGTTCAAACTTAAAATGTGTTTCATGTAAGAGTATGTCTAAACGATGGACACACGTGTTCCCCAAGTGTCCAAAGTAAAAACTGGTTTGGACGCGTGTTTGACATGTGTCGGGGAGTGTCCAGCAAGTGTCTCTAGCATACATTACTGCTCTTTATATTTCCACTCTTTGCTAGGCATCAATTTAGGCTTATCTCATTCTGTCTCTCTTTCAATATGCACTACAACAAATTTGGGATTTAAAGACGAAACAAATTTGTCCCAAAATGTATATATTTCGTCACCCAAACTAATTACGACAAACATTTTTCGTCACCCGTTTTGTCTCCAAAGGGTCGTCGCTAAAGGGTCTTGGAGACGAAAAAAAAATTCGTCATTGAAAATGATAAATTTGTGACGAATTTTTTTGTCTCCAATACACTTTGTTGGGAACATACTTGTAAGTAATTAGCGACAAAATATTTTTCATTAAAGAAGAAATTAGAGACAAAAGTATTTTGTCATAAATATAAGAAATAGAGACGAAATAATTTTGTCACGTTTAATATAAACGAAGACGAAAATTTTTTGTCAAAGAAGCTACCAATAGAGACAAAAACAAATTCATCATTAAAAATGATAAATTTGTGACGAATTCACTCTTGCAAAGCTTACAAAACAAGCTAAGCAAGAGTCAAATCCCTCCATACACGTGTATGGAGGGGGTGCAAAGTGGGTGCCAACTAGCATAGCTGGCACAAAATATCTGTCAATAGAAGATGCACAGGGGTCGGCCAGTCAAAAATACCAAATTGACCAAATAAATGGTCGACCGACCAAACATTTGGCCGATGGCAACAAAACAATGGCTGGTGGCCTCAAGCCATGGTCAGTGAGATGTAGGGATGGCCAACAAGCCATTCTCTGCTCCTCAAAAGCAAAACAGAAGTGTTTGGTGCAAAACCAAACACAAAACAGGCAAGTCGAGAGGTCTTCAGGCAAGGCGCGTGGCCGAGACCTCCGAGAACTCAAGACGAACACGAACATGGATGATCACCGGATGTTCAAACGGTGGCGTCCAATTCTTGAGGACGGTCAAAAATGGCGTGTCTACAATGAGCCATCAACACAAGCACACAAGAGAAGAGGAGGGGGGACAACCCCACCCATTTGAGACCTCAAAACACACTTTCCGCCACTGAAATTCCTCTGGAATTCAGTGGTTGAAAGGCCAAATAAAAGTGATCACAAAAGCCTAAAGTGATGGCCCAAAACAAGGCCAAACAAGGCAAAAAAAGGGGGTAAACCACCCCCAACACCAAAGAGGCCTTAAACAAACACTTTAAACACTTTAAAATATAACTTTTTTTAGTTGAAAGCAAGGCCTAAAACAGTATGTAAAAGGGGCCAAACACTTAAGCAAAACAAGGCTTAAAGGGGGTAACAACTCACCCTTGAAGAACCACAGCAAACCAACACTTCTGAGCCAAAGAAACCAACTTTGAGAGTCCAAAGAAGGTCCTCTAGTACCTCAACAACAAAGCAATGGTGCTTTACTAGGTGTTGTAGAGCAAAAGTGAAGAGAAAACACACTTTAAGGCTCGCAATAGCACAATCTAGAGAGAGAGATAGAGTGAAATATAGGGAGAGAGGGATATGTATATCTCTTAGCCTGATTTCAGAACCTCCGGAAAAGGAGAGGCACCTCCCTTCTTATAGAAATCCAAGTCTCAAGCTTGTTGAACAAGCTAGAGGCTTGGTTCAATCGCTCCATACTCGTGTATGGAGGATGAGTTTTGCGCTCACCAGCTGACACAACTGGCAAAGAAATATCTATAAAAGCAAATATAAAGGCCTCGGCCAACAAACATGGCCGATCGGCCAAAAAGGGTGCCGACCGGCCAAAAATGGTGCTAATCGGCCACCACTGATGGCCGATGGAAAGAAGGAAAGGCCGATAGGCATGAGGCTTGGCCAATGGGGTGTAGGGCTGCCCAACAAGCCACCCTCTTCTCTGATAAACAAAACCACAAGTTCTTGGTCCCCAACCAAGCACAAAACAAGTTGAGAGGTTCTATGGCAAGGCGCGCAGCCGAGACCTTCAGGAACTCAAAACGAACACGAGCATGGATGATCATCGAGTGTTCAAACGATGACGTCCAAGTCTTGAGGACAGTCAAAAATGGGGTGTCTACAGTATGACATCTAGTTTCTGCCCAGAACTTCCATAAAAGGGCAAGTGCATGCCGAATTTGTAGCTGAGTTCATAGGATCCCTCGCCGACTTTAAATCTGATCAAGTGCAAAGTAAGCCCATCGGGAGAATGTATATTTGCGGCGTCTAGAAGATGTATTGCGACAGGTCATCCAACCAGCGTGGCCGTGGGGCTGGCCTAGTAATCATGACTCCTGAAGGCGCAATAATCAAACAAGCCGTCAAATTGGGACTTGATGCATCAAACAATGAGGCCGAATACAAAGCACTATTAACCGGCTTGCGAAATGCACTTCACCTCAGTGCTCGGCGCTTGCTTGTTTTATGTGACTCAAAGCTAGTAATCAACCAGTTGAAAAGGGAATATGCAGCCAAAAATGACTGCATGGCAGCCTATATGAAAACGATGAATTCTTTGCTCGCTAAATTTGATCACCACGAACTGAATCAAATAACCTGGGATCAGAACACGCACGTAGACAGCCTGGCTTGCTTAGCCTCTGCTATCAACTCAGAAATTAAGCGGACAATTGAAGTAGGGTTCGTCCCCGAGCCGAGCATTGCCTTTTCAGAATCAGTTAAGGTCAATGTTATCGAACCGGGTCCGAGTTGGATGGACCCTATTGCCGCATTCCTATCTTCAGAACAGCTCTCGATGGATAAGAAGGAAGCACACAAACTTCGAAACAAAGTCCTCAGAAACTATTTGGATCCATAGGGGAAGCTGTACAAAAATCTCTCTCCAGGTCGTACTTAGAGTGTGTTCACCCGAATAAAGTCGAGGAACTTTTGTCTGAAATACATGAGGGCAGTTGCGGTGCCCATTCGGGCGGACGTTCTCTGGCTCATCGCACCGTATCGCAGGGGTACTATTGGTTGACCATGCAAACCGATGCCGAGTGTTATGTCAAGAAATGTGGTCAATGCCAGAAGTTTTCCCCCTTAACTCATTTGCCAGCCGAGGAGTTAAATTCTATCACTAGTCCTTGGCCGTTCACTAAATGGGGGCTTGATATCGTTGGATCGTTACCACAGGCCCCAGGCAACTGGTGATTCCTAATTGTTACGACGGATTATTTCACAAAATGGGTCAAAGCATAGGCAGTAACACATATTCGAGATTCCGACGTTAAGCGTTTTGTATGGAAAAACATCATAACAAGGTTCGGCATACCACAAACACCTGTTTCTAACAATGCTACCCAGTTTGATTGTGGTGTGTATCGAGAATTGTGCAACACTTACGATATCCGGCCCTATTTTTCCTCGCCGGCTTACCCCCAGAGCAATGGTCAAATGGAGGCCACCAACAAGGTTATTTTGGACGGCATCAAGAAAAGGCTGGAGAAAGCTAAAGGCAGATGGGTGGAAGAGTTGCCTAGTGTGTTGTGGGCTCATCGCACTACTCCAAGGTGATGCACTGGGGAAACGTCATTTACCCTATGCTTCGGAACCAAGGCAACCATCCCCTTGGAGATCGGCCTCCCAACCTTGGAGTCGAAGGTTTTTGACACGGGCCGAAATGACATGATGTTGGCCTTGGACTTGACTCTGATAGAAGAACGCCGAGACCGTGCGCTTGCATCCATGGCCCAGTACCAGCAATAGCTCGCTAAGTTGTATAATCAACGTGTTCAACTACGACGTTATACACGAGGATAATTGGTGCTCAAGAAAGTGCTTCCCGCTGCAAGGAATCCGGTTGATGGAAAATTGGGTCCTAATTGGGACGACCCCTATCAGATTGATTCGATCGCAGGGACTGGGGCATATCAGCTTAAAGACATAGATGGAAGAAGCTTTCCATGCCTGTGGAATTCCACACACTTGTGCAAATTTTATCATTAACTTGTACGGCACGACAGCTTGTTTTGATTTTATGCCGTGTACATCTTGCTTCTTTCAATATAATATTCTCTCTTATCCAGTGAGTTCTGGTTGTGTTTCTTAGTGAGTTTTGGTTGTGTGAGAAAGCCTCCGAAGTCGGAGTGCCCAACATGAATGACATATTTAGGCCGAATAAGCCTCCGAAATCGGAGTGCCCTTCGTGGAAATCACGATTGTCCAATAGAAAAAAGCCTCCGAATTTAGAGCGTCCATCGTGGAAATCACGATTGGCCAACACAAAAAACCTCCGAATTCAGAGCGCCCATCGTGAATGACACGTTCGGGCCAAATAAGCCTCCGAATTTAGAGCGCCCTTTGTCAAAATCACGATTAGCCAATACAAAAGGCCTTCGAATTCACAGCGCCCATCGTGAATGACATGTTCGGGCCAAATAAGCCTCCGAATTCGGACCGCCCATCGCGAATGACACATTAGGGCTGAATAAAACTCCGAATTCGGAGTTCCCTTTATGGAAATCACGATTAGCTAACACAAAAAGCCTCCAAATTTGGAGCGCCCATCATGAATGACACGTTTGGGCAGAATAAACCTCCGAAGTCGGAGAGCGCAACGTGAATGACACGTTCAGGCTGAATAAGCCTTCGAATTCAGAGTGCCCTTCGTGAAAATCACAATTGGCCAGTAGAAAAAACCTCCGAATTCGGAGATCCCTTCATTGAAATCACAATTGGTCATCACAAAAGGCTTCTGAATTTAGAGCGCCCATCGTGAATGACACGTTCGGGCCAAATAAGCCTCCGAAGTCGGAGCGCCCAACATCAATGACACGTTTGGGCCGAAAACACGAAAAGCTTCCGAATTCGGATCGCCCATTGTGAATGGCACGTTCGGGCCGAATAAGCGTCCGAATTCGGAGCGCCCTTCGTGGAAATCACGATTGGCAAACACAAAAAGCCTACAAATTCGGA